GGACTGGATGGCCCTTGTGGTCTCTTCCAGTTCTATGATTCTATGATCCTGGATGGGGATGGGGAGGGCAGCAAAAAAGTATAGGAAATTCAAACTATGATGGAGGGAGGGGCAAGCTGAAAAAAATATGAAATGTTTGTTAAAAATCACTCCCAGGAAATCTGCGAGTTAATTTCCTTGTATTCCAGGGTGGGTGTTTTGTTTTGTTTTGTTTTGTTTTGTTTTGTTTTCTGTTTTCAAAATTGGAGGAGTGAAAGTTTTCTCTCTTATGTATCACCTGATAAAGGATGTGGGACAAATTTAGGAGAAAGGAGGAGCTGATGACAATCGCTTGCTCAAAAAGATCAATTCAATTTCATTTTCTTTTTCTAGCCAAGAGCTGGAACGGTTTAATTTGGAAGACAAAGTTCTGGCTTATCACCCTAATTGCTTTTGTATTACTTCAGCTGCTTTTAACCCAATTAAAACAGAGATTGTGTCTATTCACTGTGCACAGCCTTCAATACTTGTTTGAATAAGCAATTAAGCTGGAGGGAATAATGGCTTAAACAGTAACATGTCTTGGGCAGGCTTCTTTTAGTTACCCAGTCACAACATGGCTGCTTTACCCTTGTCTGGAATCATGGGCCCAAAGAGGATTCCCTCACATTGCTCTGTGTCTCTCAGGGAAATATTTTATTCTGCCTGCAGGGTCCTCTTTTGATTTGTGGCTCAAATTCTCTTCATTTTTCCCTTATGGCTTATTCCTGTATAATTCATAACCCATGAAACAGAATGCAGTTCTTGTCTAATGGCCCACAGTGTGCTTCAACAAGCCTCCAGTTGTTGTTTTTGCCAAAACCTGGTAATTTTAGACAGGATGCAGTATATGGCTAGTGGGCTACAGATTGTGTGGGCCTGTTTTACATAAATCTCTGGCAGATGTGGAGAGCTTGAAAAATTACAAAAGGCAATTTGCTACTCTTATACAATAGCCCCTCCTAATTCGCAGGGGATCCGTTCCGGCCCCCCTCTTGAAAATGGCGACTCACACATATTTGAGTCCCATAGGAAATAATGGGTTGTATGCCCGTGGTGAGCACACACCACCATTATATTGATAGGCGCTTGTCCCTCCTGCAAAGAACAAGACCAGAGATTCCAAATCCACAAAAAGGGAGGGACAACTGTAGTTCCAAGGGATCACCTCAAGTAGTTATTTATTGATATAGTTACATTTTAAAAAAAACTACCTTGTTACTTTGCTGTAGCTAGACCAGTGACTTTTAGCTATTTTAGGAAAGATTTCTCTGAGTGCTACCACTCACCACCCCATGGGACAAATCACATTTAAGTAGGCTAAAAAACATTTAAAATAAATACATATACAGGAAGGATGGAATAAAAAGGAATCCACAAGACTAATTAGAGATGAGTAAAAGTAAGGTTAGTAAAGAAAGTAGTATATCAGAGTACCATGTTCACCTCTCCCTCCCACTCCTGCATTGATATGACTTGAGTCTCAGTTCTAAGGTGAGATATAAAAAAAAAGTGAAGAAAAAGGATGGACAGATATGAAAGGAGAAAATATGGAAAATTACACGTAAAATACTGATTTTAAAATATA